TTGTGGGTAATAAATGAATTATAATAATTTCCTGTAATTCATGCATTAAGTTCGGCACATGTGAGATGCGACGTTTGAATCAAAAGTCGAACCTAAGTCGAATCTTCGACTGTTTCAGTCGCAGATACGGCAAAAGTCGCATTTAATTTAAACAGTCGAATTTAATTGATTCAAACGTCGCACTTCACATGCATTTAACTCTCGCATTAAGTTCGGCACATGTGAAATTCGACGTTTGAACCGGGCCTTAAAAAAACGGGTGTGTCGTGCTGTTGTCTGAGTCATTGTAAACAATTATGAAAGATTTACTTGAACAAAGGAACCTTTTATCAGTAATCGTGGCAATGGCGTCGGGTGTAAAAAATCCAATAGCGAAAAAAGAGACTAGAGTCGGAATCCCGTGGAAATTATGTAATTAAAATAATCACAACATTCGGACTGAATAAAACTCCAAAAACTTCATTAAAATTCCAAACTGAGGGGTTGAAATAGGCGTGAACGAAAACTGAAAAACAACAACCAAACTAAACTCCGTTAAAAAAAAAAAAAAAACGACTTAAAATTAGATACGCAATAGAATGTCCACGTCAGTTTCCAATCTCAAGGCCAAAGCCCCCCGACGTGATCGGCTAATCTACAAAAAATTACGCACGCCACGCGTGTCCCACGCGTGTCCCACGCGTGAAAACAAAAACAACACGGAGGAGGGAAGGGGAAGGGGAAAAGTGAAATAGAAATTCAAAAAAGAGAAGAGATTTTCTACGTCAGGGGTGCAATTCTGTTTACAAGAGGAAAGGAATCGAAAATTAAAAATTATGGTTTGAGTGGAGATCGTTTTAAAAGAAAAAGTATTTGGGCTAGATACTGAGATTTGTGGCAAATCACCGACAACTCCACAGCTCAAAAGAATTTTTCTTCTCCAATGCAACCTAAGTTGTCCTTTGAGACGCATGGACCACAGATGCGATATTGCATTTTCTCGCCCAAAACTCCGCTTCCTACAGTTTCACACTTCCCTTCTAAAATGAGACGTCCTCCGTTTGAATGACACCAACTATTATAACTATTTGAGTCTCATTCAGTACGGATCCTGTACAGTGTGGACCAGTCATAAGACCTCAAAACCTTTCTCATTAAAGCTTGTGAAAACGTATGAAATGTAGAAATATATAATAATAATAATAATAATCATCATCATCATAATAATAATAATAATAATAATAATAATAATAATAAAGGTTCTTATTCAGAGCATTTCTGACCCCAAAGCGCATTACATTGTGAAAGCCTAATAAAAAATCATTACATTTCATAATCAAGATTCTAACCTATATGACATTATACATGAAATATTGTAAAACTTAAAACCTAGTAACAAAGCTTTAGTAGTCCTAAAATGTCAAGCATCGATCAATTGAAATATTTCTTAATAAGAAATGTTTTAAGTTTTGTTTTAAATGTAGCAACATATTCCGCGTCTATGTTCGATAAACCACTGCTTAAACACAAAAAACAGTGAATCCACGCCTTTTCCGGTTAGAGCTCTTTAGTAAAGGATGTCAACTACATGCAAAGCCCTTTAAAAACAAGGTGGAATGGAAAAGGAAATTGTCTTTCCTCCTGTAATGTATCCTGTTCCGTAGTTTAAAATGTTTTTGATATACTTTCGTAAATCAGATAGAATGGAAGTTCCTCC